TTATTTTTATTAAGCACATCACTGCTGAAAGAGTTTTGCTTATGATTGAATCAGTAATTATAAGTTTCTGTTAATTTGCAATAAATATTCTCCAAACTCAGACTCTTGGAATGTAATTTATTTCTTTGTGCCTGTAGAAGCTGCATTGGCAATATCTGAATAGTCCTCCAGTGGGCTTTAAATCAGATTCTTAGACCTGTGGCTTAGCCAAAAGGATTTTGGTAAGGAATTGAAAAATGCCAGGACAGTAGAATTGGAAAACAGGTGTAACCTGTTTTTCCTGGCACATTTTCTTTCAGTCTTCAGTCTACTTATGCATTTGGCAATTTTTACAGATGTCAGTGATCAAGCTACCTGGGTCCTTGTCCTTTCTATCTCTGCTCTCTATTACCAAGAGCAAATTCATTCCACTCCTGTAAATGTGAAACATTGCAAATTTCAAATTGAAACAGGAAAAATTATGTGAGTAAATGATAAATCATGTTTCATTCAAACCAAAAAGTCTTTGAAGTGAGGTAATTTCCTTTTTTGAGAATGTAAACAGCTCTTTTAGACAAAAGATGCTCCAAAAGAGATGAAAGTACAAAATGTATTACAATGCTCAGTATTACGACACTCATTTGGAGCTGTTCATGTGCTCTTTATGTTAGTTTCCTTTTCTTGTGTGTGTAGGTCAGTTACTTCACAAAAAATTGATGTTTACTTATAGTTCATGCTTTCCAACTGCTCCTTGATGTTGTGAGTTCTTTCAGCTTTTAGCTTCTAGAACATAATACTGCTCGTTCCTAAGCTTCTTCACCAAGTGTCAACTAAGTGCTACTTTAGTGGTGGTTAATCTACATCCCAATCAGTTTACATGCAAAGAGTTTGATTCTAATGAGAAATGGAAATGACCATTTTCCTCTAGATTCTCAACCCTTTTTCTCTCTTTGTCCTTATATTTAAAGGAAACACCGAGGAGGCTGGAAGGCTGCTGGGGAGCAAGAATGTCCGTGTCAATTGCTTGGATGAGGTACTGCAAAACTGTGCAAGCATTATGCTGAGTTTAATAAGGAAAATGCTAGGTCTGAAGGCCTTCATAATGTTAAATAGCATTTCTCTAACAGCAGTTGCTGTAGCCCTGAAAGTCAGAGTTAATCTCAAGATATTTCCAGCCTGCAGCTGAGTAATGAACATTTGAAGAGTTCTTACTGTTTTTTAAAGAAAGTTTAAAGATTAATGTTATTTAAAGTACAACACTGTATTTTGTCTCACGTTCCAGCCTGAGCTTTGTCTGTAAGGTGGGATAAATGCTGCAGCAAAACACGTGGGGGTGCTCCCTGACTTCTTGTCACCTTCACAAACAGTAATTCCTCTGCTTAGTCCCTCTGTGGCAGACATGGCACCTGTCCCCATTCCATGCTTGGGTCTCATAAACATACTTGGAGGGTGAGTAGCTCGATCAGAAATGGAACCACAGCCTTTCATACAAGTGGGTGTGGTAAACGTGTAGAAGATAAATCCTCAAGTGCTACCTGAAGGTGGGAATAGGTTTGTGGAGAAAGGAACCTTATATGATGTTCTTATTTCCTCCTCTTTTTCTTTTTACAATGTTTTTCTAAAGCATGCAACATTAATATGAAATATAACATGCAAACAAAATTAATTCCCCATCATGCATGATAAATTCATGTGTAATTTATCGATTTAAATGTTAATCTGTGGTTATTTTCACAGCTTTATAATTTCACAGAATCACTGGGAAATTCTGAGAATGTGACTAGTTCAGCCTCTGGCTCAAAGCAGGTTCAGCTCCATGGTCAGATGAGATTGCTGTGTTTTTTGACATGTCTGGCCTTGTAAATCTCTAAGGATGGAGACTGTACAATATTTCTGAGAAACTTGTTCTACTCTCTTACTGTGATTTTGGTGAAAAAAGAGTTTCAGTTATGTCTGAACCTCAGCTCAGGCTCAGTGTCCCTTGTCCTTCAACCACCGTAAGTGAAGAGTTTGTCTTCTCAATGATCTCCCTGTCAGCTCTGGCAGGCTGCTGTTGGGTCCCACAAAAGCCATCTCTCCAGGCCGTGCAAGCCCAGCTCCTGCAGCCTCTCTTCACTGTGCAAGTGCTCAGGTTCCTGCTGTGTAGTGGTAGTACTCCATTGATTTTGTTGCAGTTTATCCATATCTTTATTGCACTGGCTCAAAATGGGACAGGGTATATTGTGGATGTAGTCTCATGAATGCTGAATGGAGAAAAATTGCACTTCTTCTACCAGGTATCTTCATGGGATATCATTAGCCTTTTCTTCTGCCAACAGATCCGTTTTCTGATTGTTCTTAAGTTAAATACTTAACCTGAATTTCTACTGCATGGATCTCAACATGTTTCTGTAAAACTAGTCAAACTAAGTTTTACAGTGAACTTTAGGAGCTCAAGACACAATAAAATGTGCTTGCAAGTGTGCTTTATTGTATGGACATCAAAAGGTTTTCCTTAAGTGTAATTGCTGAAGTCGTGCTGAATGACGGCAGCATTGCTGCAGTATTAGTGAAACATCCAGGATTAGTGTTGAGAGGATATGACTTATTCAAAGAAACCATATCTGAGTTATGCTCAGGCTATTGTTGTAGAAGAAATAGTATTAACAGTATTTACCTAAGTCTCACATCTGACTAAATATGCATAAGGCCCATAAAACTTTATGCAGTGGACTTCTTGCAGGCTTTTTTACTCCCAAGAATGGTGTGTAATCATGCATGTTAAACAGGAGAGGGTTCAGGTTTGTTTACGTTTCTTAAATCCATCAGCTATGTGAGTGTTACAATTTTTCTTTTATAACCCATTTTCGCTGCAATGTGCTATTCTAAGATCTATACAAAATTGAGAGTGTGTGAAATTCCAGTTAAACATCAGCTTAGTCTGTTTTTCATTGTTGCCACAACTGGAGACTGCTCTCAGTGCATCAGATCTTATTTTTTTTCCCTGTTGCCTTAGTTGCTTATCTTGAAATTCACATTTATATTACTACTACTGTTACTTATTTTGTTAATGTTAAGAAGTAAGGAAGCCCTGAAGATGGAATGCTTAGGTATTAAGTGGGTGCTCAATTCAGTTAGGATATCATTTCCATCCTTGAAGAATTTTTTACCTGAAAATCCACAGAATGAGCACAGGTTTAATGTAATTCTGTCTTCTAGCTGTGGTACAGCAAGCATGCAATCACAATTTAATAATTTCAGGCTGAAGAATGCACAGGATCAGAAGCAGATGAAAACAAAAAGAACCCACACATAATCTGTTCCTTTCATTTTTGGTTTGACTGTATATTCTAACTGCTTGGATCCACTTTCTTGTACATTAAAAACTACTACCAATCAGCTGCGTTTTCTCTATGTACCTTTAGGCAAGGACCAAGTCACATTTTAACATCTTCCAGATGCAGTGACCTTTTTAAGTATCTTGCCCAAAGTTATGTTTCTGCAGCAGGTGAGCTGTAATAGTGGCTCTTCTTCAAATCCTTTCCAGTTGTTTCAGCTTCTTACTTTAAAAACATACATATGAGCTGGATGTAGTATTTCAGCATTACTTCTGCTGTTGGTACATGTATTTGAAAATGAAAAATTATTTCTCTAAGTCTGCTTGCTTTTCCTGCCCTTGTTCCAAGACTTCCTCATACCCTTCACCTCATCCTGTCTGCTGAGCTCTGTTGGGAGTGTCAGCACTCAGTGTCAGAGTAAGATCCCTTCACTCAAATGAGTTTCCCTGATGCCCATCTTCCAGAAGGTTGGAGATATCCAGCAGATACAATCCTCAGCACCCTTTCTGACCAAATCAATTGTTGTGTCTTAATCACTGTCTTTATAAAAACAAGTGGAATGGCTTTTTTGCAAAACTGGTCTTTAGCAGTTTGGCAACTTTAAAACTTCAGGAACATTTAAGTTCAGGTGTCCTCAAACATTGGGACAAATAGATGGACTGTAGAAATTGATGCAAAATAAAAACAAATATAGTTAACTTAAATGCACGCTGCTTAGTCATTTTTTAATGGAGTGGTTGATAATTTGGAAACTTAGTAGAAAGTGTTCAGAACTTTTCTTTCCCCTGAGAGCACAGAGCTTGTAAATATTGTGACTTTTTGTCAGCGCTTTGCTGACTTGAACTCCATCCGCAGCATGTGGCTAAAATATTTTGGATTGTTATAGAAAGGCAGGCTCAAGGAAGCACATGGGCTTTCCAAGTGTGGAAGTTTCCTCTGGTCATGTTGGTAGTTAAGGTTGCAAAGGACTACTGTAGTACTATATCCTGTGGCAGATCAATCCAACAGACTTGACCTGAAAAGTCCATAATTTTTCTCTTATTTAAAATAACTGTAAGGTTGTTTGTAAACTTACATACAGAACTATCATCTGGCATTAACAGCATTACTTTTATCCTATAGTTTGGTAATTCAGCTGTTCAGTTTGGTAATACATCATTTAGAGACACTCCACTTCTCTGTGCTACAGAACCAAACACTTCCTGGGAATTACAGCAGCAGCCTGCTTATTCATGGCTGAGATGTGTGGAGCTTCACTCATACTGAGTATGTTCAATGGAAGGTTCCTCAGGTAATCTGTCTTGCTATTCTAGTGTGAAAATCCTATGCCAGCAGAAAATGCCAGATCCTTGGCTTTTGTTAAGGAGGAAGAGTTTTGTCTTGTGATGTTCTTTACATAGTACTTCAAAATACACAAACCAAAGAAAATTCCTCTGCTAGTAAGAATTGTCTGGTTTCAGTTCAGGTTGCTGATTGATGTAGGCTTTAACTTTTCGTCACTGCAGATGAACTGAATGATCATCAGAGGAATCTAATGTGTCGCATATGTGAAACCAACAGCTGAACAGGATGACTATAAAGGAGAACTATAGCTGTGATCGACACTTACTGAACAATATTTCATATTCTAATTAGTCCATACTTAGCTACAGCTAAAATTATTTGTGTATGTAACTGTTCCTAAAATCCTGCTTTTAGGAAATTTAAGATGTCTAAGGGCAATCTTATTCAAAAGCTTGAAGAGTGAAATTTCTAGAGGCTTTCATCCTGTGAAGAGTCAAGTTGTATTTCTAGACTAACAGCATTCAGTACAAGAGAGATGAAGAGATACATCAACAAGTATTTCTGCCTTTTAGCACCTGTTCTTTTTACATAATTTTTAGTAATGTCCCAAGTACTGTCTCAAGTAAAAGCCAAACCTAGAGTTATGTGTTTTGTTTATAATTTTCTGACTTGAATTGTTTCATGAACCTGAAGGGTAAAATGAGACACTCTTTCTGTGTTCATGTGGGGCTGCATTCCTCATTAGAAAATGAGCTGGGGAAGGGAGAGATGAATGCTTTAATATTGCTGGCATACAGGTGTCTACACCAGTTTTTCGACAGCCCTGTCCCATTCTTTTTTTTTTTTTTTTTTCCCCTGCGCTATTTAAATAGCTGGTACTCACATGTGCAGTGCCTTAGTGTACCTCAGTAGCTGCTGAGAGACTGCTCCAGTGTAATCCAGCCTGTATGCCACATCTTAACAAGGTTCTGTGGTTGAGAAGAAGGGTGAATTGAGCATGGGAATGTTGGGAGCACTTGGAGTGCACTTTTCACTCGAGTAACACAGGTTTGAGTGGCTACTTCAGCGGTGAATTGTCATCCTGTTGGCCACAAAACAATACACATGTGATGTCTGTGCTCTTACACAGTCAGCATGAGTGTTTAAATGTTCACAAAATGGAGGGTTTTGTGCCAAATATGCACATGTCACTGGAGTGGGAGATATTATGTATTGTTTGTTTGTCCCACTTCTTGTTCCCTAGCTGTCATGTGTTTCCCCATTCCTCTAGTTGATGAAGGTTGAGTGCAAATTTTGCTGGAAACTTCCTTTGTAGTTCCTAGGAGGCAGAAGGTTGCTTTTCCATTTTATTATCTTCATAAATTAGTTTTTATTCATCCTGTTAAAGCACACCTCAGTTGGATGCTGACGAGAGATTGATCTGCTTTCCTCTTCCTCTGTGCTGGTGGTGGAGTCCAACCCCTCCCCGGTTCTGGTACTCATCTCCCTGCCCCTCCACTGATCCCATAGTTTGTTGTTTAGGGATTTTTTCATCAATTGACTTCCCCACCGTGGCAGCAGTTCTTAGAATCTCATTCTTTAGTGTGCTTTTGGGTTCTTTTCAACATGAGGAGCTGGGAAGGATGGTCTGTAATGTCTGGGCAGGCTGTGCCAAGAGCCCTGTTGTGCCAGGGAGGCCTTGTTGGTTGATGAGGTGGAGAACCCAGTCAAGAGAAGTGCCAGCTAATTTTTAGAGGCACTGCAAACTCTATTCATCTTGAATGGTGAGACATAATGTAAATACTTAGAGCCCTGCAGAAGAGAAAAGATATTACTATGTAACATACCTGCAAAAAAAAAAAAAAAGCTGGGAACATCCACTTTTATCCTGGGGAATAAAATTAAAAAGTTTGATTTTTTTGGTCAGAAGAATGTTGCATGGTAACAGCTAGAAAAAGGATCCTTCATCTGATGTTTCATTGTGGAACAAAAATTTGTTTCATCTTTATGCTTAAAAAATCATCTGCAAGTTTTGTCTTTTAAGTACGTTGTATTTACAATCCAAATGTTATCTGTGAGAAAACAGACTGTTGCTGGACCTGTCTTTGACATTCAGGGTGAGAAAAGTATTTGCAGTCAATCCAGTTTCTGTGTAGGGACATAATACAGGGTATCAAGCATTTCCAGATAAATTTGTGTCTAGTCTGACCCTCTTTTGTTTGCTGTGAATGTGAAAAACTGATATTAATGTGACTTTAAATCCAATTTTATAGCGATCATCCACATATTTTTTGCCTGATATGCTTTTTTGATCCACACCACAGCCTGACACTTCCAAAATTAAATCAAAGGATTTTAAAAAACAGTTTTTTGGGAGGAGAGGATAAAACAAACCCAGTTCTTTACTTTGTCATATAATCTTCAGGTCTTAATTAGAACAACTGGCTTTCAAGATATAACCAAACTTAAAAGTCATTGTTTTCTGAAAATTCTTTCTCCCATCAAAAACTGTGCTGTATTTATATTCCCTTACTGCAGTACCTTTCTGTGCTGCTAAAGGATACAAATCCCTACTGTGACTCCAGACTGGGATAGGCCTGTAAAGTTGCTTTTGGTGTAACACTATGAAATGTAATATAATAAAATGTATTTTATATAGTAGGACAGAAAGTCTTTATTCAACATTTGAGACACCCCAAATGAAATCTAACAAAAGCTGTCTGTTTCATATTCATTAAGGGATCTCTTTAGGTATTTTGTTTCTTCAATGGCAGTTTATATTGCAGTTTACTAAAATATGTGGGTTACTAAAACATAATGCATCAAGTAAGCACTTTCTATTATTTTCAGTTAGGATGGAGAGTAATGAAACTGTAATACCTTAAAATTATTATACTTTTAACTTTTCCAATTTCTGTCACCTTTAGAAATGTTTTGAAAATTATGCTGGTAAATTAAAGTTACTTGGGTTTCACTCAGTTATAAATTGAAACAAGAAATACATTAAGGCTCAAACTGACAATTACATTACTTCAGAGTATCTCATTAGCAGGCATTTACAGAGCTGCAGTAATGTTGTACGTGAATGTATTCAAGCACACAGCTTTGACTGGCAAAAAAAGGAAGAGAATGCCATTTTGATTTCTTTTCAGGGACAAACTAAAGCACTCTCCCTGGTATGCAGTGTTGGAGGGTGTTCTTGGACAGTTAAAGTGTCTTGGCTGATAAAGTGAATTCTGACCTGATGTTAAGTGGAAATAAACAGAATATTGGAAAAAGCATACTGTATGCTGAAAATAGAGTGCCATGCAATTTTGTCAAACAGCAGCATGCTTCTGCCTGCCCTTGAAGAGGGAGAGAGCATGCACTAACAGTTCACCCTAGTTCTGAAAATTTCCTCTGGGGTTTCCCCAGCTTTACCCTTATATCACACCACAGTCCTCCCATGCTGAAGCGACTCCTTTTTGCATTAGGCAGTTGATCAAACCAGCCATGTTTGTTAAATTCTGACAAGAGCTGTGTGTCTTTATGAGGGCTTTCAGAGCTCTGGCTGATCATGGACACAGTGCCAAAAGGGTGGAGAAGATGGAGAGAGGCAGATGGCAAAATTACCAGCAATCATGATTAAAAATGAGCAAGATGGGTTTCAGAGACTGAAAATCTTGGTAATGTTTAAAACAACAACAGCCTCTTTCTAATTTTCTTGATGCTTATCATATAAGCCACAGCAGGGGAGAAAAGACTAACATAGGAAGCTAACAAGTTTTCTAAACCAAGCTTTTCCAACTAGCAGAAACCTTAGTTGTCTTCAACACTAATGTTTTACATAAAAGGACAATGATAAATTGACTGTAAATTATTTTCATTTGTTCAACACTGCTCTGTTTGCAAATCTACAGCACAGCATTATCAGAAAACTGACATGGAAATCTGCTGCATGTTAGTAACTGTATCTTTTCATGAAGGTTTTGTGAGGTTTTTGTTAATAAAATAATATGTGAGGCTTTGGTAGTTATATTAAATATGTATGGTCAAGTAAAAATGATCAGTGGTATGAAGATCAAGAGAACTAACGTTCTTTTTTCTGGGCTACTTGCTTCTCCTTTCTTTTGCCAGCATGGCATGACCCCTCTGATGCACGCAGCCTACAAAGGGAAGGTGGACATGTGCAGGTTGCTGTTGAGACACGGAGCTGATGTAAACTGCAATGAACATGAGCACGGATACACTGCCTTGATGTTTGCTGGACTTTCAGGTAACTTCTTACTAGACTCAGATCACTGATTTTTAAGACATCAATGGATACAATTTGCCATTAGCTAATTTAAAAGTAAGCATTGACATGCTTTTATTATTTGGATTTGCTGTTATTTATGTGAACCATGCAACTATGTCATGGTCGGTAAAATCCTGTGGGCAATGCAAAAGGAGAGCCTCTGTTCAGGCTCATATAAAAATTTATTTTGTTCAGCATTTTGAGGCATACAGTCTACTTGTCCTGTACCTACTTTGTCCTGTTTGTTTGGGATCTCAACATTGACTTCCCTGGCACAGTTTTCTTGTGCAGTGGGATACATTCTGTTAACTTAGACTGTGTTACACTGAAAGCAATGCTGCACCAGTAGCTTTTGATAATATTTGAGACTTCTCAATCCAGTATTTTTCAAATTTTGTCTTTCTCCTACATTATTTTTCCAACTATCCTATGATCTTTTAAAAATATATTTAGTAAGTTTTAAAACCATGTTTTCCCAGAATAATTATCACTCTCATATTTTTTTTTCTTGAGAATGCTTATAGCTGTATGTATCTTCTCCTGTCTCAAGTGGTGGTTTGCAGCTTTCCTCTTGCTATTCCTTCTCCCTGATGGCTGAAACAGTAATTTCCTAGAGTGAGAAAAAGACACTACATTAAAACATTGTTCCTTCTGGAGAAAATATTTGATTTGGAAATATTAGGTTATTTTAAGTATCTTCTTTAATCAGCCACTTATGACTTCCCAAAAATGAGATTCTAGAGGAGTCAGGTTTCTTAGCAGGTAGAGTTTAAACTGCCTTCATTCATCATAAGTATTAAAAAAAAGGCTTATTTGTGTATATGAACCTCAACTAGATTGCTAGATTGTTTTTCAGCTACAACTTCAGCAAAAAGATCTGTGAAATTCCAGTGTTCTGTGGTATTGAACAATATCACAGCTGCAGCAGATAGATGAGAACAAACTCATAGAGGCTATTAAATGACTGCAACTGTATGGAAAATGCTGGATTTATACCATTTTCTCACAGATGAGCTTTAAGTCTGTCATCCTGGGTGTGAAAGCTTCTGAAATGTTGACTTTACAGTTTGTTATCTGTGAGCACAAAAAGTACATGAGCACTACTGATGCAGTGACTTTGTTTTTAAACATTCATTTTCATCCACCATCCCCTTTTTGTATTAACTTTTCTGTACTTTGCATGTGCACAAAAACTGATAAAGTAAGAATACCTTTGAAAGCAGAACCAGAGGGGTGGTGACAAGTGTCCTTTTTTAGTCTCTGAAGGGCACCAATTAAGTCATCTAATCTTCCCATCAAATTTTAGCTTCATTTTACTTGGTATTTAGCCCAGTCTGAATACCCAGTTCTCACTGTGGAGAAAGGAACAATTTGTTCTGTTCACTGTGTTCCTGCTACATCACAGTCCTGAATGTTTTTTTTTTCTTAGAATAGCAAATGTAGTTGAACTGTTAAACTAGATTAGTAGAATTTCTTTCTATACTGCTGTCCAGAGGGACCAACCTCTAGTGTAGCTACATACATGAGTATGACTCCCATAAGCTCCACGGGAAGTTGAGTGTGCATTACAGAGAGAGTTACACCTGCTGGAACTCTAAATAAGCACATGCTTTTCTCTTAATCCATGCTTAAAATAATGACATGAAGAACAGTCATTTTCCTCAGTGTTGTTCCTGGTCTTTAAGAAATTCAGTACCTCTTTTTCTGAAGCATAGAGGATTATAAATTCTGATTTATCCTTGCTCATTCCCCATGTCTTTCCTGCAAATTCAGGAAACAAGGAAATCACCTGGATGATGTTAGAGGCTGGAGCAGAAACTGATGTTGTCAACTCTGTGGGAAGGACAGCAGCTCAGATGGCTGCTTTTGTTGGTAAGATGAAAATTAACATCACTTTCTAAACTCCTAAAGAAGTAAAGTGTTGGAGTCTGATGCTTTTTCTTGGAGAAGCATTATTCAATGACTTGTTCTGAACTGACACATTGTTGAGGTTTGTTTTCCACATCTCATCATGTAAGAGTCAATTTGTGTCCTATTCCCATGCTTGATTTCCTAAAAACACAGATGATCTTATGTGTGAGAACAGGTGCTACACCAGTGTGTTAAGTTTTTGCAATGTTACTGCTTTGGAAATAGTAAGAGGAAGCTGGTTGAATTGGAGGGGTCTGAAGTGCAGAACCAAGTGCTAATTGGAGATTCCTTGTGGGAAAGGATGGCCATAGTGCCAGGAATCAGGAACTCAGCTGAGCTTTGCAGCTGTGTGCTGGCAGCAAGGCACCCCCTGCCCTTCTCCCAGACTTCTGGGAAAGGGAGAAGTCTTGGAACCCCTTCTGAGGTAGTCACTACTTACTTACCTGAACTTCACTAGAAAAAGATAAAGATTTGTCATTCCAGCATGCAAAATTATCCCTGGCAAAACATGCAACAAGCTTTTTTACTGCTGTAGTTCTGTTATTGGTCTTTTTTTGTTTGTTTCTTTAAGCCCTTTTTAAATTTGTTACTTTCCTTGACAATACTAAGTTCCTGGTTTAATGTCCCACTACTTCTCTAGCAAGGAGAATTGATAAAATATTATGAGGTTAAGTGGAGTAATTTCCAATGGCACAGCTGTTGCTTCCCAAAAACAAGGACATGTATTTTCTTTCAGACACAACCTTCTTAGGTATTTAAGTGCCTGAGAATTCCCTTTCAATTCCTTTGGGTGTTCTGAATTCAAGCCTACCTTGCCATTTAGAATTACTTCCTTGAATAGTGATTTAGTGCTAAGTTTCAGTTTCCATTTTACCTTATTCTGCTGATTTAAAGAAGAAAAGGCTGATGTTGCTCACTTGAGGTTTGAGCAGCAAAACCTTAACTATTCATTTAAGTATCAGAGAAGTCTATTCCTAGTAATTATCCTTTGGATTTGGAGAGCCTTTTCCAATATGATGGTGTATGGAGTAAATGGTGAATATTAACTCCAGCATAATTTTTGAGAATTCTTGTTTAAAATCTCATCACATCACCAAGGTAGCATAAATATTTTCAGGCACACTGAGATACACTGCTCTCTAAAAATCTGCACATTGGAATCTATTCCTGTTCCTTTTTTATTCTTTGTCCAATCAACGTTAATTCATCTGCCTGTGTGTGGGAAGTGAGGATACTTCTTCCCCTGTCATTTGTCTTACACTGTACTCTGTTAGCTCAGAACTGTCTCTTCTAAAACAGTGGAGGATTTTAAATGCTGGAATTTGGTTGGCTGTGTCTTCTACCGATTATAGGATTAGTGCCAAGACAAATCAATCAATTTAAAGAATGTGGTCCTGAACTAGAAAAGATAAGTTTTACTTTCCCTTTAGTCAAATAATCCATTGTATTGTCATATAGAAAACAAGAAGAGGGTGTAACTTTTCTCATCTTGTTACTTTCATTACAGTCCTTTTATTTTTGGTAAACTTTAAGCATGTTCTGTTCTTACAACTTCTCCCACCATAGGTCTGAAAACGTATGAGTCTCAATGCAAATGTCATTAATTTCAAAAGTACAAAGTGGAAAAATCTTATCTTGAAAAATTACAGCAGCACTGTGAGACTACTGGTATAGCATAATTTGGGGGAGAAATAACTGTCCTCTTAGTTGTGGCTTATCAGGGAAAGAGAATATAGGAAGGGGACAGGATATTCAAAATGAATTTTCATGAGGGCATTCCCTGCTGGGAGTCACCAAGTTAATAACACTTGCTGAAGATTAAAGCTACATGCAAGAGAATGACAAGAGTTGCCTCTTTGTAGTGCAGGATATATAATGCAAAGCTCCTTTGGATGTGGGTAATTCTCACTTGTATTGCTTATAGTAGATTTGGGTTTAGGGTGGGGTTTTTTTTGTTATTATTTCACTGGTGATTTTTTTTTCTTGTGTGCTTTTAGGTCAACATGACTGTGTGACTGTCATCAACAACTTCTTTCCACGTGAAAGGCTGGACTACTATACTAAACCACAAGGCTTAGACAAAGAACCAAAACTGCCAGTAAAATTAGCTGGGCCTCTGCATAAAATTATTACTACTACCAACATGCATCCTGTTAAGGTGAAATAATGTGTAAATTGTATGTGTTTGTTGGTGTGGGAGCAGTGTTAGAAAGCATTCTGATCTTCTGCAAGTTCAGCTGAGATGAAAAGCATTATCTGCTAATTCAGCTACTTCTGAAAATGAGGAAGAATCAGGCTCAACATTTATATGTGATTAAAAAATTATTTCAGTGTTCGTATAAACCAGAATCTTGAACTAACACCTTTAAGTGGAGTGATTCTTATTTCTTCTATCAGTAACCATAAATAGCTGTCTTTCTTGGCTTTATTTCTCAGCCCCACTTGAAGTGGAAACATAAAAAAAATTCCTATCTTAACAAAATCTCATTGTTCTCTCAATGCTCTTCTCAGCATGTATCTTCCTACCTACATCACTGGTTCTCCATAGTAACATCTACCACTACTGCTGTTTCTGAAAGTATGTGCAAGATAATGTTTATTTTACTTCCCAGGATATTGCTGACAATAAAGTCTTTATGGTTTGCTCCCCCAGTGTAGTTCAGAGAAAGGGATATACCTAAATTCAAATACAAATTCCTTGGGCTTCCCAGTCAAAGTCCAGAATTTTTAACAGTTTCCAGCCAGGTATCTGCAATACACAGAGACAGTAGTGCACCAGTAGGACTGAGTGAGTAGAGCATACAGTTTCCTCTAGAAGATTTTTTTTCAGTGCTTTACTAGGCTACAGGAAGTATTCCACGATTATGTGACGTTGATGTGTTCTGTGAAACTGCTTAAATCATACAAGTCCTTAAACCATACAAGACTGTAGTCTTCAAAAGGAAAGAGATTTTAGGATAGTATAGTTAGTTTCTATAACTTTCTTTAGAAGTATTTTTGACTTTAAGGTTCTTATTCTAAAAACAAAAAACAACAAAAATAAAACCACCAAACTTATTATTTTTAATACCAGCTTTAGTTTTCTAAGTAAATGTTTTCTTGTATGGGAACTGTGAATTACAGTATATTGAATAAGAATGGTAAATAATGACTGGAAAAAGAAAGGGAAGACTGCATAAGAAGGAAGTAGAAGAATATTAGCAACTCCACTGAAGTTCAGCCACAGTGAGCTGTATAAGCTTTAATGCAAATGCACAAGTCTTAACTGGATTACATTTTCTTCAATCTTCTAGATCGTGTTGCTGGTGAAAGAGAACCCTCTGTTGGCTGAAGAAGAAGCACTGCAGAAATGTTACAGGGTTCTGGATCTCATTTGTGAGAAATGCATGAAGCAGAAAGATATGAATGAAGTTCTTGCTATGAAAATGCACTATATCAGTTGCATCTTCCAGAAATGTATTACATTTTTAAAAGAGAGAGAGGATAAACTAGATGGGTTTATCAAAAGGTGAGTATTTCTACAGAGAGGTCTGAAAGCACATGTATGTCCTGGCATTAGAGATACCAGGAAAAAGACAACTGAAGGAACAGATTTTGGACAAGGCTCTGACAAGTAACTTGTTAAATAATCCTAGCTGCATTTACTCCAGGGTGGCACTGTCTCCCTTTTTTCTGTGTCTGAAGTGACACTGTCCTTTCCTGGGTGCAAAGGAAACATTCCTAGAATTCCAGCTCTACTGGAACTGGTTAGAACTTGGCATTTACATATATACCATGAAGCAGCAGACAGCAATGTGTGATTGAAAAAAAGGGGAGAGATAGGTTTGAAAAAAGAATTTCTCAGTGTCCAATAGGGTTCATCTTGGAACATTTCTTGGGCCATTTTGCTTTCCAGCGGTCATACAGGTTGAGATTTTTTTTCAAAAACACTTAAGCAAATGAGAACTGCAAGTCCCACAGATTCTGGATGAGACTTACCCTCTTAAATAACTTAGATCTTCAAAATCTACTGAGTTACAAACCAGCTACCTGATCTTGCATATCAAAGTAAGTGACCTGACTTTTAGAAGGATCACATTCCCCATACACCACTGTGGATTTTTACTGAAATCCTCCGTGAGACTGAAAATAAATTATGAAGTCAGTTTTTGCATAACGAAATAGAATAGTGCATCAGTGATCCATATAAAAAAACAATAGCCAAAGAGGCCTAATAACATGTTATTAAACATAATAAACTGGAATTTGTGTTTTGAGCTATTGTTCATTTATCAGTGTTTATCATTACAATGGTAATTTTTAAACAGCTCAAAGCGTTTTGGTATTTTAGTCAGATGTAGATAGTATACCTATAGATTATTATTTTTCTCTGTGACTGAATTAGTAAGTCTTGGTTTCAGAGCATACGTTTATATATTGTGTATTTCATAATGATTGTGCATTAGAATAAAAACACTTTCATTTGCATTTTAACATATTAACATAGGAAGTTGCCAAATTATTGTGAATTCTTCTCTATAATCTGAAAGGGGAGAGAGTATAGCATGCTGTATGTGTTCGTTCTTGAATATATTTACTGTGTGATTTCTTATTTTACATGCATTTTAAAAAAATTAGCCTCTTGAAAGGGAGAGATAAAGATGGTTTCCCTGTGTATCAAGAGAAGTTAATTCGAGAAAGTATCCGGAAGTTTCCTTACTGTGAAGCCACATTGCTCCAGCAGCTTGTGAGAAGTATTGCTCCTGTTGAAATTGTAAGTTTTTCTTGTCAAGAAAATCCTTTTTCAGTAACTTGCATAGTAAATCCAGGTTGAGACATCTTTCTGTCCTCAGCTTCTGCAACATATTATATTAAGCAAAGGGTTTTGATGTCCCTAAACTCTCTAGAGCTGGATTTTACATATTGCAGGAAAATGCTCTAAAGTACTTCAACTAGTATTTTTTTCATGTGCCCATAAAAAGATGCTTAAACACCTCAGCTTTTAAAGAAAACTGATGCAATTTTTTCTTGTCTCTGAGCTTTCGTTTCCTCCTCTGGGATGTCTGTTCAGTTTTTCTATGGCAGTTCAATTATTGAAATGGTAAATTCAGATAAAAATGAAGCTTAATTTGCACTCTTGTTTTCACAATGTCTAAATTCAGTTTAATATTGAATAATTTCCTAGATTTAATGCATTCATTTGTTCTATTGTGCATAAGAACTTGGTAATATATAATAGTAGAAAATGATGGTGGGGTTCCTTTTATCACAGAGAGGGAGAGTTGAGATGATGCAATGTGCAGCAAAATTTATATCTAAATTAGGAAATCAAAATAAGTTAAAAATCTAGCTTCAGTTGTCCTTGTAGGTCTTTGCTAGCACACTCTTCATTTTAGGACTATTTATTGTTTCATAATAAATTTTACACAAGTGTGGCTGTTCTTTTTTAAGCATGTTCTCTCTGATCTCTGAGCGAGAGATGTTGTATGCACAAACACTGGGGAATTGGAACAATCTTGTGACATGTTTGGATTATTCAGAGCCAATTAAAAATAGCCTGCATCTTAAGTGGCTCCAGGTCTGCTAAAATGTCCTGAAGCTTAGTGCAATCTCTGCTGTTTCCCTAAGCCATGAAGATAAACACAGTGTGAAAACATAAGCCATTGTGATGCATTACAACTTGCTTTAGAGTAAACATTTTCCTTCCTGTTGCTTTTTCCTTAGGAGAGCCTGCAGTCTTTTATGCCTTTAAAGCAAAGACAGTTTATTCCATTGGATTTCTGTCAATTATGCAGAACTGGAAAGAAGAGATACTATAATTCTTATTTATGTGGAAGCCTTTGACCTTTTTCATTGCACAATTACTTAAATTCAGTCTGGGCATCACAGTGTTGTGGTTGTAGTTATGATTGTACATATTTCATGGTAGTCTGAAAGTTTAAGGAATTATTTAGAGCCAGAACTACTTGGCGTTTTTTCTTGGAATATTTACATCATTGCCCAAAGGAATAGTTTTAATGTATGGTTACCTAAACCTTACTGCTTGCATTCCATAAGAAGGATGCTGCAAATAACATCTAAATAATAATATGCAAATAATTTAAAATTTCAAGTTCTGACCATTTGGTCTGTAGCACCTGTGTGCACTGAGCACAGCAGTGACAAATGAAACATTTTTTTGTGTGCCGGCAGAGAGACCAAGATGCAAAAATCTGCTGCATAGGATCTACAGATGTAAAGAATGTGGAGTTTATTAACTTACAGAGGAAATACTACAGAAGCTCAGGGCTCAAGTTAACTTCATATACAACAGTTTATCTAAAGATAAATCTTAAGTTGTGCATGTTAGTTGAAGTTCTGTGGTTTGGTTTTATGTTTTTACTGCTGCAGCAGCTTCAGTGAGACCAATGCTTGTGTTCATAGTTTCTGGTCTTCCCTTGCACATCCCTCTCTGCAACAGTGCTGGTTTTTAATCTCATTACCACCTCTTCTCTTTCAGGGCTCTGACCCCACAGCTTTTTCTGTGCTTACACAAGCGATTACTGGCCAAGTGGGTTTTGTGGATGCTGAATTCTGTACAACTTGTGGGGGAAAGGGAGCAGACAAAAGATGCTCAGTCTGTAAAATGGTAAGAATAAAAAGAAAATAGTTGCACTGAGGTGGTGAGGATTTTGAATGCTTCCCTATTCACTGTGTAGACTTTGGAGGAATGGCATGCATGCCTACACTGAAGATGTTCTTCTGAGAAAGATGTCTGAAATGCACAAGTAGGAAGGAGTAATTGGATTTCCAAGTGTGTATGCTTAAGAATGAAGAAACAGCAAAAATTATGTATGTTTGGAGCTAATAAAAAACTGCCCTTTATAGATTCTTATATAGGTTAGAATCACTCCATATGACCTTAAAAATTGCTTAAAAATTCCATTAAGTGCTACACATTGACATTTAACTTGCTGCACTAAGAAATGCAAGGAAATTCTTTAGTACATGAAAATGAATTGATAACTCTGGTAACTTTCAGGTGATGTACTGTGACCAGAACTGCCAGAAAATACACTGGTTTACCCACAAAAAAGTCTGCAAGATCCTGAAGGAACTTCATGAGAAACAAGAACTAGAAGCTGCCAAAGAGAAAAGGAAACAAGAAAAGAAGCAAAAAAAAGGTTAGGATCTGTTGTTCACTTGTTGAAGTTAATGCTGTGTTAACTGCATCACAAAGAGCAATTTAACAGGTCTTAAAACTCCCAACAGCTGAGGTTGGGAGAAAAATCTTTGATGAAACATAACAACAAAGCTGAGTTTGTTTGGACTCTGGCCTTTAAATTTACAAATGCTGCATACTTCCAAATGTGTTTTTTAATGATGCAGTTAGACAGATTTCTACAGTGGAAGCATCGGATCTACACTGCACTGTTTCAAAGTCCAGATCTTTAATCAAGCTAGTGCAGAACTTTAATGCTGCTCTGTGTTTTGTTGGAGGTGTTAAGACAAGTTGGATAATAAGCAAGTAGCCTGCTCCTTCCAGTTGCAAAGGTTAATGTAGGTGTTAAATCTCCCATAATACTTCTCTTCATAATCACAGTATCAACTTAATTGTGTTGTGTGCTTTGAATGCAAGGAAAGCCAGCAGTAGTCTTTAAACTGCTCATGGTGGTTTTCTCCCTTCAGGAAACAAGTAATTAAAACACAATAACCTAACAAACACTGTATTGCCCCTTCCCATGTTTCTCCAAGTGAAATAATAGGAAAGTAGGGGATGAAACCACTTTTTCTCTTTTACAACTTATTGGATTTCCCTTCTTTTGTTTTAAGCAGTGTAGAAGTGCGCTGCACAAGTCATGGTTGCCTCACAATGGTAATGTTCAGTTGTACTCAAAATAGCAGGATATAAATGAGTACAGAATCAGTAATAATTGAAGTCTTCAACAGTTTCCTCTGTTGATCCTGTTACAAGAGCTGCTGTTGCACTGTTGCACGGAATCAGGATGACTGTGGAAGTTGGAGGCAAGGATATTAGAAATCCCAGTACAACAAAACATAATGAGCTGTGAGTGGTGATGCCTCATGTGCTGTCCTTTTCAGAGGGAGAGGCAGGATCTTGGTGGATAGCTCTTCTCCTTTCCTGCCTAAAAAGGGAAGCTAACATACTCTGTTAACGTTTCTACTACAGTATCTACATGTTAATCTTCACTAACTGATTCAGGTAGACAGCCAGCACACTACAGACCTTATCCAATTATGCACTGTTAGTAAGACACTGAAGTCATCTGAGCTTCAGGTCACCTTGTGAACGGTGTTGTATCAGAGCATTTCATATCAACAGCAGTTTTATTTCAGAAAGCTGGCAATACCCACTACTAATCCTGTACATCAGGAAAGAAATAATTAACAAACCAAATGCAACAGCTGCAACTACAAGCAAACTCAATAGTTTGAGTGTTTCTGCTATACAGGGTGAGTGTCAAGAAAGTCTATGTGTCAGCCTGTGCTGAAGGCTTTTAGCCCCCTACCATGTAAGACCTTAGCAGGCTTTGACAGGGTTATGGCTTGCTACCTGTGACTATTTTTGGCTGGCTATCAATCACAACAGAACAATAAACCAAGATAGAACTACTTCTCCCAATTAGGCCTTTCTCTCTTTCTTTTTAGAAATCCTAGCGTGCAAGCCCTACTTAGTAGAATCAGGGGAAAAAAAATTATTTAACAACTTTTTTTCTCAGAAAACATTGCTTGAAGAGTAAAGGTGCAATAGCTTATTCTGTTCAATGCAGTCAAGTTACAAATTTTAGGATGACTCATTTCAACCAAAGATTATTGTTTTTAAGGACATAATTTCTTCAGTCTGTTTTATGTAGAAATGCTTCCTGTGTAGTTGTGTCCATGCCTTTTTGATTGAAAACAAACCTTACCCGTACTTGGTGTTTAACTGGCTTGCAGCCATTGAAAAGCTGGTGATAAGAACAGTGTCAATAAAGCATGTTTGAATTGAAAGTTAGAATAACTATAGTGTCCTACTCTGCTCCTCTCTGTAAAAAAAAAAAAAAAAAAAAAAAAAAATTAGTCTGGCAAAAAATGGAAGATAAATTAATAAGAGCTTTATATAGGGTTAGTTCCAGAGTAACCTTATACCAACTTAAGCAAAGCTTTAGTGCTTTTGGTTTTTTTGAATCAAGCTTTTCTAAATCAAGCATTTCTGTAATTGATGCAAAGTATCCTAGTGCTACTGGTTTGCAACAATAAAAATGTTTGCTTGCAAAGAAGTTCAGTGTTTATTAATTGTGTAATTTCTCTTTTGCTTAGATGAAATGCAACTAGTAGAGGGTAGTTCTACAAGTGAACAGCAGTCAGATCCTGGTCCAGATCCTACAAAAAATGTGGATCCAAATCATCCTACTGATGGAACAGAAGAACCTGAATTTACCAAAGAGATGGAGGCACTAGCCCTGCAACCTAAAAGTCCCCTGGAGAATGAAACTGCCTTAGATGACATTGATCTTCAAAAAATTCAAGATTCTGAGGAGTAAGAAGAGGATAAGAAGGGACTGAGAGTTCTCAATGGTACTAAAGAATTTTTTATGCTGACCATGTCTGAGTTCTTGGAGCATGGCATATGCAAGACTTCTTTTAAAAGACAGAATGTCTCTGTTCATCAAGAGATAGAATACTGGCTACTTTGTCTATAAATACTCCAGGTTTTGTTGTAAATTGTCAAGATAGCTGTTTATTATCTGCTAAAAATTAGTGGCATAGATCCATCTCTATGTATACCAACAGTAAGTGTAGTGAAACTGAGTTTCTGTGGTTAATGAACCACATAGTGAAAAATGAACAGCATTTTATTTGTATTATTCATGTTTTCCAAACTTAAAACTTACTTTAATTCTAATTTATTTTTTTTTTCTGCAATTATATAGACCTGTAGTTAAAAAGCACTGGAAGGCAAACTGTTAAATTGAGGTTTTTTTCAGCACTTTATGAAGCTTTATCTGAAGGAATTCAGTAGCAATTAAGTTTCTGAATATACTCATCTGAACTCTTGAGTTTTTCATTACATTACTGTAAATATTTTTGACTAGTGAGAGCACAAAAAATAATGTCTATCTTAGGGCAACTGTAGTAAATGAAACTGCTGTTTCAGGCATCTCAAGCTGGTGGTGAAATGTGTATTTCACTATTGGTTTGGTCGGAAATATTCCAAAGTCTAATGAAGGGAAGACCAGAATGACTCAAAATATTTTGACTGACAAGAATAATGCATTCTTAATATTTTTTTAGGTAAAGATGCCTTAGAGAACAGTGGGATGTTGCTTATGAATTATTTCATAAACAAAAAATGCTTAGTACTTTTCATGCTTAACTGAATGAGAAAATTCATGTGTGCATTGATAGAACTGGGATTTCACTTTAGCTTTCAGCTAAATGCCAGATCTAGAAAACATCTTCTGTCAACTTTGTTTTTCACTCAGATTTATTTCTGTGTCTCATGAAATCAATGGGAATGCCACAACTGAAAATATCACTTGCTGCATAAGGATGGCAAAATTGGAGACTGTCTTATTGTCAGCTGAATCACTGGTGTTTTAAATATAGCAGTATTCTTCTAATTAGAGGAGTAAGGATCAGCCTCAAAACAGAGGAAACACTATTAATTTTTTTACTATTTAATATGTTGAAAGTTTTTGTTTAATATTCTCAAAACTGTAAGAGTGAGGATACATAAATCCATCTGTGCAGATGTACCTGTGTTTTAATTTCGAGGATTAGTAGATTGTGAAGAATAAAGGGATTTTTTTTTTAAAGAAAGGGGCTAAGTGGCAATTCTGTTTCCTGCGTCTGTAACACGGTGACATTCTCATGTGACATGCAGGGGACTCCTGTAGCTTGACTATACAAGTTCAACTTCATGACAATTTGCAGGCAAGAAATGCCTACCTGGAACTCAGATCTGCAGTCATGCTGTAGTCACCCTCCACTCTGAGGTCTGGGAATACAGAAGTGCTGCTGCCTCCCTGTTCCACTCACAGCATTTGGGGCTCACAGGCATGTGTTGCTCTTCACGGATTCTCTGAAAATGTCATCCCTTCAGGGAAAAAGAGTCAGAGTTTTGGAAGCGTGCTAAAATCCCCAGCACCAATCCTGCTTTCATTCTCTCAGTAGTGGTGCCTTGCTCATTGGAAATCTTTGATTCTCCAACAGGCCACCAGACAACCTCATCTCCATCCTGCTTCCAACAGGAAGTTTGGACTTAGATAAGCTCCAGAGATCCCTGCCAACACAGACTGTCCTGTGGCTCTGTGCTGACTTAGGAGAGAAGGAGGGAACTCAGAAGACAAGCTACAACCTGAAAGAAGGGCTTTGAAATATATTGAAAGCATCATTGACTTTAAGCCTTGACAGACTGAAAGGAGAAATATGTGAGGAAGTGTATGATAAGAAATAAAAGTATTTATCTTTAGTTTCCTAAAAGTTAGTGTGCAGTTCAGTACTTTCAGGTAACAAAATTATGGTAAGAATTGCATTTCAAGCAACTTTTATTATAACATTGCAACTATTTACCATTTGTTATCTTAATTTTTTCATTCTCTATACAGCATATGATAAAAGAAATGTTACACTAATATTGTTTTTTGGAAATTCACTTAACTAGATAGGTGTTGTTGTGTACTTGGTTTATTGAGCTGTTAACCTACTTATAGGGTTAACATTAGAGAGGGAAATTGGTTTTTTCTCATCTAAACTGGACTGTCAGCTTCTCAAGGGGCTCTTCTGCTTTGTTTTTAAGCCATCTTTCTTGACAAGTGGCTACTTTGTTCCAGTCCACAGAGGAAAATTCCATTAGAGATCTTGTCATTGCCCGTACCAAAATTGCATCTTCGGGGTCCTCAAATGGTACTCTGCAAAAAGAACAAAGCAAGTCCATTACCTGAACATTTCCAAACCACTTCAGAACTAATTCACAACACACACTCTCTGGAAAATGAAAGTAGTGGTCATGTGACACTGAAGAGGGAGGATTTAAAAATTTTAAATTTTCAGAAGATTTTCTTCTACCAAATTTAAGAAAGCAGAACAAAATGAAAAAAGGTCAGAATCATGGGATTCTATTTGAAAAAAGATCATGCTATAAATTATTTAGAAAACATTTTTAGTAGACTTAAAAATGTTTCTTGGTTTTCAGATTTTTCCCTCACAAAAGTTGTAATTGTATACTTTTAATGCTGCTTCAATGGACACGATTCAAGTGATTTGGCACCCATTAATGGAAATGCACACTGATTTCACTGTGGATATCTTAACTAGCCCACAGGCAAATATCCATTCTCCAAGCTCTGAATCCAGATCACTGTGAGCTTGTGTTCATGTATCCTGCCACAGCTGCAGTCTGGAAGAGAAAAGCAGCAGATTGGCAACATCCACTGACAAGCAACAAAACCCTCCAACTCACATACAATATTAAAACTATCTTACAAGAACTTGTTTCTTAAAAATGTCCCTGTAGTAACACAACTCATATAAGCCACAGGACTATCTCCACTGAGTATCATGTATTTTTTCACAAAAAGACACCTTGCAAAGCCTCAGCATTTCCATAAATAAGACTCAAGGCAGCTGTACATCCATTCTATCAATGACGACAGCTAACTGCACTGAAGGCAGGTAAGACTTTTAATTTTTCAACAGAAACAACCTGATTTTTAAAGAGCTATGCTCAGACTACTGTTAAAGGATATTATAGGTAGGCTCTTACTATTTCCTTCAAAGCATTTCAGATCTTCTCATTTGTAAAGCTAGAAAGCATAGCCAAGCCTGATACCTAAAGTTTGTAAATCTATTCTTACAAAGTTTGCATCTAAAATGTCATCACATTAAAATGCAACCTTTCTCCTGTCTCAATCCAGACACATAGATTAGTTTTACATTTATCTAATTTATTTACATTTATTTACATTTACATTTTGAAACTGAACAGAATAAAAATAATATCATGTACCAACTAAAAATGTTTCATTCTACAAGTCATAATGCTTTCCAGAGAGTGTATTTTTGAACAGCCAGTCAGGAGAACATTTTCTGGGACATAATACAGAACAGCTATTCTGATGCTCTAATACTTTGAGCATGTTTTTTCTAGTGATCAGTGTTTGATCTTACAAATAAATGGCATTGTTATGTACCCATTTCCAAATGTGGAATACCTTCCAATACTAAGTTTTAGACAACAAACCTAGTGTAGAGTTGCAGCTTTATTGAATACAAAGGCTTGAAACTGTTTCAAAAGCTCATTTTTACTAGTTGGGGTATTTTTTAGGTATAGGAAGAGGAGCTTAAATGCTTCAGAGATGCAAAAATAAGAAGACCTTGAAAACATTACTTACTTATTTGTGTTATTTCCAAATTCATGACCTATAGGAGAAAGTTCAAATTACGGTGTTAATGGCTGTACAGCAATTTGAGTAGCTGAGAATTGATTGCTATCCTGATTCTAAACTGTTCAAAATAATTGAAAACTAGCACACGATTTGTAATGTTTAAGATAATATTTTATTAAATTTCTGTGGAAGCAAGTATTTGCTGGGTTTTAAGTGTACGTAGTTTTTAAGTTTTTTGTATTCTACTTCCTAAAGACATACACAACCAGACTTTTTCTTTCACAGAAAATGATGCCACTCTAGATGTGTATGATTGCAGGACAAAGACAACTGTCCGCTTTGATAATCATCAGAAAAACAAACTATTAACTATGCTTTTCCCAACCTTTTCAAAATCATTGTTAAATACAGTGCTTTCAGTTTTACTATTGTGATACATACATTTAAAAAAAACTTGCAAGTATTTGATTACTTCCTAAACTTTAATCTACATTATTTAAAGTGCTACTATTAGTGTAGTGCAACTACACTATTTCAATTTCAGTTACTCTCTGTGCACAATGGTGGGGTTTTTTTAATCTTTAAAACATCAAAAAAGCTGACAAGGTTGTGGGGGATTTCAGAGTTGGTTCTGGATTGTGATACAAGTCTTATGTTCCAGGTGGATTCGCCTGCTGTCTTGTGGCAGGATCATACTCTCTTCCAGATCTGAATGTTTTAAGAACTCTAAAAATTGCTTCATATGCTATTATAAGACATCATTAAAATATTCTCAGCTTGGAAAGCATAAAGAGGAATCTGCTTACATAACCAGGCAAGATACATAAAATTTAGAACACTAGAAGAAAATACTTCCTTCAAGAGATTATCTTGTAAAAGCACTAGAGGGCATCAAAACTCTATGATGCTGAGCACTGAGAGAAGTCTACTGAGATGTTTTAAATATAAGTAAAACTAAACACGAGACATACTGACAAAAAAAAAATTCAGTTATCTTTAAAGACAACTCTGTAACTACAGGGTATGACTAGAATTTATCTGCCACAATACTCGCAGTAGAAGGGTTCATGTGTTGCCTGCTGCTGCTACGATTACTTACTTTATGAAGCAAACCAGCTGAGTTATTGATGCATTTATATTTTATTACTAAAACCAATAATGTTTTATCAGATGAATGAAAAAAAAACAAAAACGTTTCTAATTCAAATTACTTAAAAATTTATGGCTTCCTTGGAGCATTATAAATACCTGGGGGCATTATCGGTCTTCTGGCTGGTTGAGTGCATCTAGATCCCACCGTAGTCCCCAGGGATGTGTCTACTCTCTTCCCAAAAGCTATTGACTGCATGACCCAAGCCATTTTGGGGTTATAGAGATGAAGTGCTGACTCCCTTTCTCTTTGTGTAACTACTGTTAAAAGGGATATAAAAAATTTAATTTTATTTCTATCAGTTTAAAAGGCAGCATATAAAAGGTGATTAATATATTTTCTGTGCAGTTTTTTAACAATAATAATGTTAATGACACAATTTCATGGCAATTAAAAATGGGAACATGGCTTTAGGGTGAAGCCCTGTACAGTAAAGTATTTTCTTCTGAGAGCAATAGGATCAGAAGTTTTAAATGAAGATGCTAGAAAGCATGACTTTTTGTGCTGCTTAAATGAGATTTCCTGCAGAAGTCAGTAAAGATTTAAAGTGTCTTTATGAATAGCAACAAGTCTTGATTTAACACCAGTTCAATTCCCATTGGTCAAGTACAGGGAAAACCCTTGGAGTGCAATCAAAATAAAAGTTTAAATTTTTCCTGTTTTGCACTTTAAGAAAAACAACTTTAATTTTTAAACAAATAGTTTAAGGCTGTTAAATTTGGGATGATAGCTTCAATTTTATGAACCTTGTACTAATCTAGTACTTCAGCTATGGAAGAGAAGTCAGCTGAACTTCTAGAACAAGTAACTGGCAGAATCATTTTCAGTTCAGGGAAGTTTTGGAGTCATGGTGTCTAGGGGACCAATTAGGAAGGAACTGCAGTACTCATGCCTGAAGGTAGCAGAACATGAGCACATGTCTTGTGTGAAGGAGACAGCCAGGACTATGTTGCTAATGTTCTACAGATGGTGAAGAAGCTTTGTAATGTTCTAGAGAAATATTTCACTAAATGGAAAGTCCAGGATACAGCTTGATACAAATTACTGCCTCAAATCTTAATCCAGGACTGATTACAGTAGAACTGTATTTAGGAGATGAAGTCCAGGAAGTTTTATGGAAGTGTTTCTAGACATATAAATGCAACATGTATTTTTCAGCGCATTTAGCTTCAGTCATCACTCCCCAGTCAAAATGTGGTATTTTAGTAACAGCCTGACAGATGAGTTAAGCACAAGTGTAACACAAGAGCAAGTGCTCAGGACAAGGGGGGTAGGGGGTACCTGTGCAAAATGACTGTGTGAGCAAATGGGCATCTGGTGAGATCCAGCAACTCCTCATCAGCCCTGGCACCTGCTGGGGCCCATCCACCAGCTTTACTTCATGACAGCTGCACAGCTTCCCAGCACCTGCAGATGTCCTGCATCTGCCTTGCTCAGGCCCCTTTCAGGAAGGTGCTGGTTGTCCTTGCTACTTTCTTACAGAGCTGAGGTAGGAATCAGCTATTTTCTCAGTGTTCTCCAGTAATTTTCAGTCCTGTCAGTCACACAGTTCCCAAAAAAAAAAATCACCAAAGGCGATTTTATGGGTACATTGTGACATGTTTATGGATTCACTGATTTAAATTCTGGCTATTCTTAAGACAATTTTTTTCCTGTAGAATTTACAGTAGACAAGCTGTGAAAGATCTCTTGATAATTTGTGAATATTTATTATATTTGAAAGCTTTGAAAGCTTGGTCTGCATTTACCTTATCAAGAAATGTGCATATATGTACTTAAACTGCACAGGAACATGTACAAACCTAAGCAAGCACACTCACCCATGTGAATACACCAGTCTGACTGCACAGAGGAGGTACATGTTTCTAAGCACAAGTTTTTACCTTTACCCAAATAAACAAGATACAGGGAAAACCAACACAATTTCAAAAGAAAAAAAAAATCAAAAACATTTGACAAAGTGTTTATGCCATGCAAATTCTTTTTGCTTGATAAATCTTACAAAAAACAGGTATCTTGTTCATTAGTTCTCTATCAACAAGATACAGAACAGATAGGATAATTTCACCTGTGTTTCCAAACTGCTTAGAATCAAAAGAAACTGTCAATGCTTAGAGAGAGAGGAAAAATATCCTTACACTTCCTGTCAAGGAGCTGAACTGAAGGAAGGAAGTATATCACATAAAGCCGGTAGTCTGGATCATATGCCAGAGGGTTTTGGAATAGGTCTGCAAAACAAACACAGACAAAAAACCCCAGTGTCACAAAAAAGCAAACCCAGCAAAACAACAACTTTGCAAGGCAGGAAAAATAAAGGTCATTAGGAACCAAAGATTTTGTAGAAAATATTAAATTCAAATTGTTCTTTGGCTGGATAAACACTTTACACATGTGAAATTACTCATCTAAACATGGACTGCAGGAACTGACTTACTGCAGAGTATGCAAAATACCACAGGCAAGAACTGAGTAAAGGTGTCATCATGCACTCCAAACCTGTACAGAAAAAAACACTGAAGTGTTTGCCTTTGATTTTCTTACGTAATGTCAGGTAATGCTTATTTTAAATAGCAATGGTCTTTTAGGTGTGACAGCTTAAAGATAAGACATAAAATTTGTAGCAGGATGGAGGTATTAATATCAGATGAGCTTTAGGACACCTAAGACTTTATCAGAGCTGATATAAGGCTCTATCCCACAGATACAATATAAAATGCAAATACAGAGCCTTCTAATATTTTGACAGGTAATGAGTTTGAAAAGT